TTGGGTTTTTTTGGCTCTTAATGACCCTGAAGCAGGAAAACCCAAAGCGGTGAAGTTGTGGCTTCGGGGCACAGTCTCCCTGCAGAGGATGGTCCCTGATGGTCTCAGCGTTATCTCCTGGGCTTGGGGAGGTTGTTTGGGCGGCAGACTCGCCACCGTGTGTGTGTTTCCCTGTGTCGGCGTGAGATCTGTTTGCGGCAGCGTGTCCTTTGTGGGTTAACGTGATTTGGGCTCCTGCCCTGCTCTTTCCTTTCTCCCCTCTGCCCCTCGGAGCCAGCAGCGTTTCAGCGCTTTCAGAATAGCTGCCATGGGCCCCTTACCTGTGCTGGTCGGTGTCTGCGGCACGGATCCTTCCTAGCCGCCACCATGGAAGGATAAGAGCAGCCGTTCAGTTTTCACGGCAGAAGCTGGCTGGTTGAGCCGCAGCTCCCAGCACCTCCTCGCCCAGCTCGGAGCGTGGTGGTGGTTTGTTCAGGTCTTGGTTTTTCTGTCCAGAGGAAAAGAGATTTGGAGCTGGGCGTAGCGGAGGGCTGTGGTACCCGGCTGTATTTGCAGTCCTGAAGCTTCCTGGCCGGTGGATGTGCTCATCCACCCAGGAGGCATCTGCGTGCTGGCAGGCGGCTGTGCTGGTCCACCCAGGCCAAATTTCTTCCACTTGTGAGTGCAGGCAGAGAGCGTGCGCAGCCAAATTTGAAGGGAATTTCTTTCGGGTTGTGCCGAGGGGAGTACCGGGAGAGCATGGGTGGTTGTAGCGGTGCGTTCTCCCTTGCTGCTTTCCCCAGGCTCTGAGCTTTTGATAAAGGCAGCAAGGAGAATAATCTCAGTCTTGCATACGGGAGAGCACACGGTTTCCCAAGGTCATGGCAAAGGCAAGGACATCATCGAGCTCTTGTGTTCTGCTGCAGTATGTGCGGCTGGAATGCTGCCTCTCAAAGCGGCTGGTGAAGGTGCAGGAGACGCAGCTCAAAGATGTGACGCCAGAAACTGGCCTTTGTCCTCTTAGTGCCACCAGCTGCTGTCGGGAGAGGTTTCTCCTGAGAAACATTTCACCTCCTTGTTCAGTTCTCCTGTGCCCCGTGTCAGGGGCGTGGGTAGATCAGGGAGTTGGGGTCGTTAGAGGCAATGCTGTTGCCGTCGTTAATTCTCTGTGCAGAGTGTCCCAGCCTCGTCCCTTTCCCTCTGTAAAGCAACAAGTGGGTGAGCAGAAGGACGAGTCACCCTTTCTGGTCCGTACATTTCCTGCACGTCCGTCTGACCGTCCGCTGCCGCCCTTCCACGCTGCTGTTCTAACAGGAACGTCTCCTTTCCAGCCCAAAGGAGCTGATCGGAAGCAGAAAACAGACAGGGAAAAGATGGAGAAGCGAACACCTCATGAGAAAGAGAAATACCAGCCTTCCTACGAGACGACGATACTCACAGAGGTGGGCGCTCTTTCACGCAGCAGCTGGCACCCTTGTTCTAACAAAAGCTGGCTTACCTCGCTCGCGGCTGGCAAGGAGCTGGCTGTTCTGCCGTGAAACGTTTGGCCGAGTTGTTAATAGCTGCAAGACAAAAGCAAGATAAATTTTGTAGGCAGAGGAGGTGTTTTCTGCTAGACCTGAAAAAGCTCTGTGCCTGGAAATGTGATGGGTTTTTCCCCTCTCTAATAGATCCCGTAATAAAAGAGTTTTACCTCTCCCTGCAAGCTTCATTTTGCCCATGTGGCAACTGGCCACCGAGGCTGTGAGCTGGCAGAAAGCCCTGTAGTTCCCTCCGCATGGTAGTGGGAAGCGTCTGTCTGTTAAAACGCGATCGTCCGAGGGGTCGGTGCTGCCCAGCCCTGGGGAGGGAGCACTCAGCCTGTCCCGGGTGAATTCGGGGACGCTCACCGGTGCCCGATCCAGGCTCGATCCGCTGCGGGGAGGTGCCGGGGCTGGCGGGCGCCATGTGTGCCAGCCCAGTGCCAGAGCGAGGGTTTAGACGCCAGATCTCGCTGGGTTGGAATTCAGTGACTTTTTGAGATTAAGAATCACTAAATCTGAGCTTTGTGGCAGTCTGCAGTGAATCCGCGTGGCTGCTTCTAACCTGTGGCTTTATTCTTTAATCCTGTTCCGTAGTCAGCCAGGAGATGGCTGTTAACCTGCGCTGGCCGGAGCAGACACCTGCCTGTTCAGAGCCACCCTGTGACTCTTCTGGGTTTTCCTTTCTAGTGTTCTCCCTGGCCGGAGATAACGTATGTCAATAACTCGCCGTCCCCCGGCTTCAACAGCTCCCACAGCAGCTTTTCCGTTGGCGAAGGGTGAGTCTGGAGGAGAGGCTGGCGGCTGTCGATTCTTGCCGCGCACAAGGGATCGATGCGTCTGCGCTGGCAGTGACCGCCGGCGAGTGGAAGGGCCTGGTTCCAAGGCACACGGGGGGTGGGAGCAGAGGCTGTGCCAGTGGGCGAAAATCAAATTAAAGCCCTTGGAGCTGAGCGCTGTTACCTCTTCTGGCACAGGAAGCCCGCGTGCGTTGGAGCAGCTTCCAGCTGGCTTTGTTCAGCCTTTCCCCATCGCGTTAATGCTCCAACATCAGCTGCTTGTTCTCACCGCAGTGATGATGGTGTTGCTGCAGCTGTGGGGCTGTGTTTCGGTGGCCTTGGGGATGGGACATGGAGGGGGGTGGTTGCTGCCTGCCGGGATCCCGTGCCGGCCGGGGGAGAGCAGCGCTAATCTCGTGTTCTGCTCTGTCTGGCTCTTTTCCCGACCTAGCAATGGCTCTCCAAACCATCAGCCCGAGCCACCCCCTCCGATCGCAGATGTAAGTCACACCTCAGAGCTTATGCTTGTGGTAAGGACGGTGCACAGGTCAGAAACCGGGATTTTGGGAGGGAGCGGGAGCGGGTTCGTGGGCGGCTGCTGTTTGCTGGGGAAGAGGCTGCTCTGGTTTAATGTCTTTGGGGAGTCACGACTTCTTTTTGACTCCTGTTTGGAAAAAGAGGTGACAGGGTGAAAAACGTCCCGCACAGCGATGTGGAGCTGTGAGCACACTCTTTGTAGCTCACTCTGACCTTTACTTATTGCCTTGATCTTCTCTGTGCTTTCCCCTTTCCTTCCTTCCTCTTTCTCTGATCCTCTGAAGCCTTTCAAACCAAACCCCGTCCAGGCGGCAGCCTTGTCGTGTGTGTGTGCGGTGAGCCTGGCACGCGCGGGTCTCAGCTGAAGGCTGTGATTATAAACACCGACCGAGCCGACCTGTGCTCATTCCTCAGTGGAGATGCTTCCCCATCCCCATCACCTCTGAGGCGGTGACCCTTCTTTTCCTCCGTTGCAGAACCTCTTGCCCACCAGCACGCCCCAGGAGGCCCAGCAGTGGCTGCACCGAAACCGCTTCTCCACGTTTTCTCGTCTTTTCAGGAATTTCTCAGGTGGGTTACGACATCCGTGCCTGCCCCTTCGCTGTGCCAGGTCGCTCTGCCTCCTCTTGCTCCCTTTTCATGTTACCGTAGCAAATATCAATGTTTTTTTAAATGTAACACAATAAAATGTGGCTCCCTGAAAGCTGTGTTCTTTGTTTCTCACCTCGCTCTCAACTGGCAAAATAGTGGCGACCTGGGTGGTTTCTCTTCCAAGAGCTCGCAGTGCCCTCCTGGCTTAAAACAAGCTGAGAAATGCTGAGCTGGGAGAAAGCCCCGAGTGTGAAGAAATGCTTGGCAGTTATTTTCCTTTCCTGGTGACACAGCCTCTGTTACCCAGGGTCACTGAGGCGCCAACCGCAGATGGTAACGTGGGACACAGGGTTGTACCCAAACACACTCTTGCAAAACCAGTCTGGAAAAAAAAATCTGATGAGATTCCTTCTGGGGGAAGCACGGGGAGGTTGTTAGCAGAAGGCAGAAGCGATTTGGGAAGGGGGTGTGCTCTGCGAGCGAGGGCGGGAGGAGCAGGATCGGCTGCGGTGCCCAGAGCCCCCTCCTCCCGGCCACTCGGCGCTGGGTTGGGTGACTTTCTCTCCTTTTGATTTTTTAAAACTGCAGGTGCAGACTTACTGAAGCTGACCAGAGAAGACGTTATCCAGATCTGCGGCCCAGCGGATGGCATCAGGCTCTTCAACGCGTTAAAAGGCCGGTATGTTGTTTGCTGAAGAGCTGGCTGTGGATGGCTGGTAACTGGTGTTTGGTTTAGACTGTTTGCTTGGCGCTCGCTCTGAGAGAGAACAGTGTTTCATTAACCTTCCTGAACCTTGTTCGGTCAAATTTGATCGCTTAGCCAGCAGGGTAACCGCTCCAGAGACAATCTGGGGAAGAATATCCCCGTGGGAGAGAAGCGTTAGAAATGATCTTACTGTTTGAGTGTCAGAGAAGCAAGCCCCAAGGCAGGAGGTCCTGCTGATGCCGTACCTGTGTCCCACGTCCTCCGAACCGCCTCTCGGTGGGATATCCCTTCCAGAAAGGGAATATTCCTTTGCGCCTTTCCCTGATGAAGCAGGGGCCGGTGTTTGACCCATTGGAGCTGGAGCATTGAAGGTGCTGCTGCAGCTGGAGGAGAGGCCGG